CACGCGGAATGAGGGGTGGCTCTCCCTTCCTCCATGTGACGGTGTCGCAGAGTCACCCGCCCCCCTCCCAGTACAAATCTTCCCTCACTCTTCTCTGCTGTTTCTCTACGACGACCAGGCACACACGCGCCCACGTATTCCTGTCTAATGAATCGCACCCATCAGCAGATGGGCCTTCGAGGCACAATGAGAAACCACCATCCATTTCTTCTTCGGAGTGGGACTAACAACACCTCAAATAAATCATTATCTTCTCAAGTGCTACCTCCAGGGAAGGCGAGCAGGAGCCACAGATGGCTGGGGCTCTCTCCCTCCCCGTGTAATTATACCGAGAAGAGTGACTAAAACGCACTAGGGGACTGAAATTTTAAAAGTTTCAAAAAGTGGAGGTTTTAAAAGTAACTTTATACTTAACGGCATTACAAGCTTTCCTAATACTCAGGAAACCAAAACTGTCTCCCATAATGATCTCATTACAATATCTCGTCCATGAAGTCATGGTGAGTAGGATGTTTATGTTGTGGCAGGAACGATGAGCGACACAGCGATTAGTGACTCATTCAAGGTTATTGACAACACTAATAGCAAACCCAAACGTTGGGGCCAGAGCTTTTCTCCGAGAATAAAAGAAACAGAAAAAACCAAAGGCGATTTTATTCTTGACATTATTGTCAGTCTTCCAGGCACTTGGTCCTCGGTTATCTAAGTGACTCAACCAAAAGCATTACATGGGCTAGACCAGCCATGGGCAAACTACGGCCCGCGGACCGGATCCGGCCCGTTTGAAATGAATAAAACTAAAAAAAAAAAAAGACCATACCCTTTTATGTAATGATGTTTACTTTGAATTTATATTAGTTCACACAAACACTCCATCCATGCTTTTGTTCCGGCCCTCCGGTCCAGTTTAAGAACCCATTGTGGCCCTCGAGTCAAAAAGTTTGCCCACCCCTGGGCTAGACCATATCACGAAGGCAAGACCAAATGCCCCTTACCCAGCACAAAGTGAGTATCCCATAAATATTTTGGGGTGACTTACTAATACTACGTAGCTTTGGAATTTAAAAGAATTTAGCCCTGGCCGGTGTGGCTCAGCTGGTGGAGTGTCATCGATTCCCCGTCAGGGCATATCCCCAGGCTGCAGGTACAGTCCCTTTCGAGGTGCATATGGGAGGCAACCAACTGATGTTTCTTTCTCATATCGATGTTCTTCCACTCTCCCTCTCCCTTCCTCTCTCTCTCTCAAATCAATAAAAACATATTTTAATAAAATAATTTAGTCCTTGTGTCCTGAATAACTGGTGTCTCTTAAGTCTTGTGTCCTCCTGACTCTCATCCCTCCCCCAGACCAGTCTCCCTGAGACACCCATGAAACTCTTCTGGTCAAAACGGATTAATGGACGAATAACAAAAGGCCCAGCATTCCAGATCCGGCACATGGCCCAGCTGCTGCCTCGCCCACGCTCAGGCTTTCTGCCGTCCTATTCAATTCTCACTGCGCGGTGGGCGGGAAAAGAACGTGGAATCTGTAAACCTGAGTCTGGAGCTCAGCTCTAGTAAACTTTCAGCAAATCGAAACCTCAGTAAACTTCATGGATTCTTCTAGAAAGAATGGACACATGGTAGTACACCTTTATCTAACTCATTCATACCCAGCTCATCTATTCTGAGGGTCAAGCGTGATGCGACGTTTCTTCAGCCAGCAGTACACGGAGCAGCGCCACACAAACGGCCAGTATCAGCGCCTCCCAAACGCTAACATGCAGTGTGATCCCCGAGGCAGACCTGAGAGTGCATTTCTAACAAGCTCTGCCGGGGTCCAAGCTGCAGGTTTGGGCCACACCATGTGTAGCAAGAATACAGGTTATTCCCTCTTCCACACTTTTTCCAACCGCATGTTTTTCCACCTGAAATGACCTACCCCTTTCTCCCTAAACCCAAGACTCCAAGTTCAGCTCAAGCTCAGCCAGCCCTCTTTCTGAGTCAATGAACCACTCTAGACTACGCTGATGTCTCCTTTCTTCATTCCCACGCGTGCAATGCCTGCATTGTTTCCTGGGGGAATATTATTTCGTATCATTATTTAACAGTGTAGAAACATAACAACAGGTGAGGGTAAAAACACGAATTTTGAAGTAAACGGGTGTTTAGGAAGTTTACACCTAGTAGCCTCTATTTCACTCATAAAGTTGGAACACAGCACATCTGGGGAGAATGAGAGGAGTGGTGCGAGGAGAAATTTGGGCTTGAGAAGAGTGGTAAACATTCAACTGGGAGAAGTGAAGGCCGGAGCCAAAGAATGACCCCAAAGCATGGGCTGTGTGGGTTTGAGAACTGTGAAAAAGAGGAGACCACCAACCTGTATCTGCAACAAAAGAGAACTGAATAAGCAAATGACAGGAAGCCAGACACTGGAACACTATGCTACAGCCATTAAAAAAGACATATTTGCTCCTTTAGGAGCTCAGCAAAGCATTCACAATATTATTGAGATGAACAAAATCAGGTTAAAATATACATTTTTGCAAAAAAAAAAAGATTAAATGTACATATTTGTGTAATAGAAATGTCTGGCAGGTCATACATCAAAAGGTGAGCATGTTTTAGTTTGCAGTGGTAGTGTTCTGGTAATTTTTGCCCCTCCCCATATTTTCTCTTTTTCCTATAGTCTTACGCTATCTGTTGAGTAGCATATGGTCCCCATGAATGCAGACGTTAGCTTCTGTTTGAGGGTTGGGTCAAGGAAGTCAGAGAGAAGATTCCTGAGCTGTGTGTGTCTTTGGTCGATGGCTCTTCCTTGGAAGGCAGCGTCTAACTGTGGTGAAGAAGCAAGCTGGTATTCTGAAAACTTCAAGCTCAACACTGACACAATGCTCACTGCTGGGCACTGGGCACCTTGAAGAAATTCTGAACTTGCAAACAAATGAATTAAACTTTTATGATCCAGCCACTCCCAAGAGCTCGGTGAGGACAAGGGGTCGTCTGTGAAGTTCACTCGGCCACCTTGCAGCCGACTTGTCACAGCGTTGGAGCCTAGTGCTTCTTCTGCCACATTCACACTTCCTGTCGTCATATTTTTAGTGACTTTCTGGGACTTTCTCTGTCAGGCACATGTCAAGCAGCTGCGGGTGGCCCTGGTTGACATGCTTGTAGAGGTGCTGTAGAGGTGTTGGGCGAGTTGCTTTCCAAGGCACATCCAGTTCTTGAAATGCTCCAGGCTCAAGGGAACTCCCTAAACCTCCAGAGGCCTCCGGTACCTCCATCCACCCCCTCTCCACCCCCATGGAAATCTGAGTGTCTCATAGATTTGCAGCTTCACCCACTTTACGCCGGGGGGCAGTCTCTGTCTACAGACAACAGCAGCTTCCTGAGGACATACTAAGAGCAAGGGCAGCGAGGTGTCTTTGACCTATGGTGCCCCACTCAACCTAAACTAATGAAAGGCACGCCCAGCACACGATCCCCAGATTATAGTCCAAGCTCCGAGCCATTGCCTAAGGGCAGACAGAACTAAATTAGAGGGTAGCGGCCGCATAAAACTTGCTCAGACTAGCAGAGAACCCTGGTAGATGGTCACACGTTGCAGTCATTGTAGCGAAACTTACTGAAGCTTCTCATCATGGCTGAGGCCCTGGTGGTGGTGAGAACCCCCTGGGCATGAGAGCTGGTCTCCATGACTGCAATACATAAAGGCCTTCGCTTATGTGTATGGCACGAACTTCGTCACCTGCTCCTGGTTGGAACCATCGGCTATCCACCTCAGTGACGCCTCGGCAAAAAGCCGTCTGCCTGTGAATTTCTGGGGAGAGTGGGACATGGCGACAAATGCAAGCAGGTGGGCGATACTAGTTGTGACAGCATTCTCTACGAAGTTTAATAAAGCACCCTGAGCGCAGCTCGCTCTGCCTCACCCTCCCAAGTGTTAAATGACCACAGTTCACAGCCATCACTGGCTAAAGGGATATCAATAAAAGAGGGACCCCTTCTCATACAGAGAACTGCAGCATTCTCTCCTAGGGATGCAGACCTTTGCTTTACCATCTTTTAATTTTAAAAAAATAACACAAAAACAAAATGAACAAAATACGGATCATGAAACCAGCGCCACAATTAACACTGTATCACACTTGCTTCAGGTTTTTAAAACATAATATTAGGGATAAAGAGGAAATCTCCTTGCACCGCTCCCCTCCCCTGCCCTCCCTGGGGCTACTCCCTCCCCTCCTTCCCAAGAGACAGCCAATCTCATGAACTGGGCGTGGCTCTTCTACTCCAAGTGCTCATATTTCCATGTTGTTCATACACATTCACACACCAAATACAGTCTTTGTCCCACATGTTTTAAAAATCTATAATGAGTATGTGTCACATTTATATAGTTTGTTGTGGTTTTTGTTTTGTTTTTCATTTAACTTGGTGTTTTAGAGATTCATCCACGTATCTGTATACAGATCTGGTTCATTCATTTTACTTGTTATGTTCTAACAAATTTATACCACACTTTAATTATCCAGTACCTTTTTGAGATTCATTTAGGGGGCTTCTAATTTTTATTATTGCAAACCATGCTGCATAAGCATCCTCTACCAATCTCCTTATGCACCTGTTTAAGAGATAGTACAGGGCGTATACCTAGGAGTCCCACACTGGGTTTGGATTTTATTAGCAGGACCAAATCGTTCTCTAAATGGCAGTAGTTTCTACTGCTCGTTTTCATCACACTTGTACTGTGAGACTATTCAATGTTTGCTAATCTAATAAGTGTGAAATGATATTTCATAGTCATTTTAATATGCCTGCCCCACATGACCGCTGAAGGTAAACATCTTTACATGACTGTTACAGTTTTATCTTCTGCAAAATACCTGTTCAGTCCTTCCGCTTTCTAAAACACCGTGAAAAGGCACTTCCTGTGCTGAGGGTGTGAATGGACTGGGAGTGCTGGGGTTATGAACAGCTGACAGAAGAATAATGCATTCGGGAACACGAGAACCGAACCTCAAGCTGAGGTTCGCCGCAGCGTCACAATTTTGCTGGTGAAACGAATGCTTGTTACAGGTTACATGTTCCTGTTGGTTAAGGGATGTTTTAAATCCTGTGCAAATTATACTACAACCTATGATTCATGATCGTGAGGAAAAAGGAGGCGCTGGAGTCTCTGGCTTAAAACAAAGAAGTAGCATCCATTTTCACTTATGTCTAAAGAGATCAAAAAACAAAGAATTGTACTCCAGCCTTCCTTCTCCAGACAGCCTGGCAAACACACACACAAACAGTGATGATGACATCAACTCTGAGTCACCATCAGAAAACAGAAACAGTAATAAACAGAATTATTCATATTTAAATATCACAAATAACCCCAGGGAGGGCATGTATATTTGGGGGGTAAGAATTTTTCTAACTGTAAAATTGTAAATCCTACTGCTTGTTCTTAAGATAATTGAACTGGCAACGTTTTGGTGCATGGGATGAAACTTACTCACCCAACTGAGCCACACCCTCACCCGTCATGCCTGGGCTGTGGGCTCGATCCCCAGTAGGGGGTGTGCAGGAGGCAGCCAATTGATGTTCCTCTCTCACATCGATGTTTCTCTCTCTCCAAAAAAATTTTTTAAAGACTTTAAAACTACATATCACTATCACAGGGCATTTGCATCTTATCACGCGCAAGGGAAATCTATAAAGTCTACATATATTCTTTATGTATCTGAAAGTATCTGAAAGCCGACCACTATGGAGATGCCACAGATCATGCGCGTCTGCAGGAGCGTGCAGGACTGTCCCCCAGCCAAAGGTAACTGCGTATTGAGGTCACTTCTTGAGGAGCTAGATGACCATATCAGCACCAAGAACACAGTTAACCGAAAGACCTTTAGAGCTGGCTTTGTAATGGGGTTTTGTCCTCTTATTTGAACTTGGATGTGTTTGAAGTACAGGGAGTTCAAACCATTTAAGAAACAATCACAGTCCCAGAAGGAAGCACACACCACAGGACCCGTGCAGTTTGCGTCTCTGTCCCCGCCCCCCCCCCCCCCCCCCCCGCCCGGTTTTGTGTTTCTCAGCTGTGGCTGGTCGTCACCAAATCTCAGGTGCAGAGACGGCTTCTGCTGCCCCAGAGCTCCCTCCCTCTGGCACGGTCCCATCCACCATGTGCAGGGCTCTCTGGCAGCCCGCACCCCCCTCCCCGGGCAGTAGTGATAGCAGTTGCTCTGTACCTTCCTTGGGCAACAGTAGACAAGTGCTTTGGTTTTAAAAGCAGACATCAACCTCCTTCCTTGTAACTCTGAAAAGGGCTCCTGGCTTTTCCCTCTGTTGGAGGAAGCAACCCCCTCCAGAATGGTGATAGCCTCGAGCTACACTGTGTGTGGCGCTCCCAGCACTGGCACCTGCCGGCCAAACCTCTCCAACAACAGACATGATGGAAAGGTCTTTGCGGACCTCCACACCCATATGCAGGAAAACTTGGGGCGATCCTAGGACCACTTGGCTCACTGTCTTAAAGGGGCGGTTGGGTCCTCATCCACGTGTGACAGCTGTGAGGAACTACCTCCCTTCTGCCTGTCCTGGGGCCTCTCCTCCGTTGACACTGGCACAGCTAAAGGCACCTCCCAGCCCACACCTACAAAATAAACAGTCACTTCGTTCCAAACACTCTAGACCTGGTTTTTCTACGGCAAATACTGACCACCTGTCAGGCCTAGAGACCAATGAACAGTCACGGTCAGGTGCTTAGACCTCCTTGGTACCAAACTCTAACCGACTGAGCCAACCGTAAAGAAAAGCGAGGAGAACTTAACGGGTCCTGAACCCTGAGCAGTGGCCTTTTTAGTGCCGCACTCCACTCAATACAAACGTATCCCAGGTTGCTGGGTACCTGGCCGGGCAGGTAAGAAGCTAATGGCACCAAAGGTGGAGTGCAGGGATGGGGAAGCGGGGAGGCGGGATTTCTCGGCGAGGGATTATGTTCCTGCAATTCTTGGTTAGAACGGAAGAAGAATTTTCTCAAGGGGAAAGTATTACAAATGAAATCAGGCATCCTGGTGACTATTCTATTCTCTCTGTTTTAAACACACTTTTGTAATTTAGCACAAATACTTTTTTTCCCTCGTAGGAAAAGTACACTTAAAGCTAAAACAAACTTAACAAAATACTGCATATTTATCAACTGAGAACTTGCTTTGCTAGAGGAAGAACTGACGTCATCTGTCAGTCCATTTGAACAGCTCTCCTAGCTGGTGATGAAATCAACTGAACTTTCAAACATTTCAAAGGAAAACAGAATCCGTAAGTCCACCCTTACCTCTCCCCACCCCATCTTCCGATTGAGCAGTTGCCTTATGCAAGGTTTAAGCAACCGATGAACTGTACTTCTCTCAGAATCTCTAGCATTACATATTAACTGTAATTATTTACCTGTCTGCCGGCCTCACCCCACCCCACTAGAATACAAGCTTCATAGGAGCTTTGATTTGTCCACCATTGTAGCCCCTGCTAAGCACACAGTAGGCACTCAAATATGTGTTGAATGAAGAAGTAAAATGGTTGACTCATAGTAAATACTAATAAAAGGATTTGTGAATAAAATGCCTTTAAGAATATTGGGAGAGGTAACTGATGTCAAACGGACCCTTTAAGCCGGCAAAGGAGTAACTCTTGCCTGGAAAAGTGTGCTTGCAGTGACCTTGAGCGCGGGGAACCCAGGCTTTTAGTTGGGGTGTGCAAGTGTTCTCTGGGAATTCTGTACAGTGAAGAAGTGGTTCCATTTTATAATCACACACTGAGATGACACTATACGACTTACTCAGTCTCAACCAACACTGGCCTCTGGGTAGAATGGCCCAGAAGAACTTAAAAAAAAAAAAACAACAAAAAACCTATGCATTGACAACCTCAGGAACAGGAAGCCCCTGGAATCCAGTGAAAGGCAGTAGGCAGATGCCCAGAGCAGAAGGAGGTCGCTCCAGCGCGGAGCTGTCCTGACCGGCGGCCAGCGCGCTCCGCTGTCTCCACTCCAAGGTGACAGCCCGCAGGTTAGAGCAACAATTCGCTGTTGCATTCACAGTGGCTCACAGGCAACGACAGAATTTTCATGCCTTAGTAACAGGCTGGTCTGATGAAGTAGCCCCACCCCTACCTCCCAACTCTCCACCCCCCCTTCCCCCCCCCTCCCCACCCTCCCCACACAAACACACTCGAGGGGCGGGCTGGGTGGGCCTGGGGAGCCGCCAAAGTTGCAGGGTCTGGGGCGTCAGGCGGCGGGAACTTGGCCTGCTGGGGGAGCCAGCCCCCGCCTGGGGACGGGGGTCCGCAGAGCTCTGCGTCCGGGCCCGGCGGTGGGGGCGGCGCGGGGAGAGGGGGCCGACCGGGGCGGGGGACAAGGGGCACAGTCGGGGCGGCGGGGACTCACCTGCAGCAGCACGGGCCAGCAGGAGCACAAGTACTCCTGGGCAGGAAGCACAAGTACATCTGGTAGATGCCCATCTCCCCCACCACCTGGAAGGCCTGCTCCACCTCCATGGCGGGCCGTGCCCTCCCTCCCCGCACCCGCACCCGCACCCGCACCGGCTGGGACTCGCGGCGCCGCTGGGGAGCGCGCGGGGCGGGGCGGCGCGGAACCCCGGGACGGGGCGCGGGGCGTGCGATGGGCGGGAAGCCCGGTACCCGGCCGGCCCGGCGCTTCCTGTTACGGGTTGTATCCGAGACAGAAACAGAAACGGCTGGTGCCCGCGGCTCGGAGAGGAAGAGGAAGTGGCTCCCCGAGCGGCATCCTCTCTGATGGAGAAACCGGGAGCCGGGAACCGCAGCTGGGGCCACCCCCGGCCCCCGCTTGGGGGCGCGGAGGCGGGAGGCAGGGTGGGCGACCTGGTGGCGGCTCGGCAGTATGTGTCCTTTTGTGTGAAGCAGTTTAATGTGAGGAGGGGGGAGGGGGCGTTCTAGATCCTTCGCGGAAGAGGGCTGTTCGGCGTTTCTTCCCCGTCCTACCGGCCTTGCACAGCTGATAGCTTCGCTTATGCAAACGTGCAGGAGGTGCAGAGGGAGCGGAGAGGAAGGTTAACCTGCGGGACAGCGGCTCTGGCTGCCCAGGTGTGTGGGTGGGTGGGAAGGTGAAGAAGATGAGGCAGGGCCGCCTGCCGGGCCCCTCATTCCCCCACCTCCTGAGGCTGGTTTTGACAGCTGCAGAGTGTTCCAGCGTCCAGGCCATGGCCCCCAGTACAATACTGGGCGGAGGAGGCGACCCGCTAATGTTCTAGCCTCGATTTTACATCCTTTCTGCCTGCTGACCAGGTCTGGATTTGGCTGTAGGATTATGGTAGTTTAGTAAAACGAGTTGGAAGTGTTTGGTAAAACTCTCCTTGAACCATCTGGACTCCTCTTGCTTTTCAGGGTGAGCCTCTTTATGACAGAGATAGGTAGGTAGGTAGATATCGCATAACGTTGCGGCTTTGTGCTCTTGAATTACTTTATTTTTTTTTCTAGAAACGTTTGCTCATCTTTTTCTCTTAGGGTTTTTAAAAATCATGCTCTATTTGTATTTATGACCCATTTTTCCAATCTTAATATTGTTCATTTTTATTGTTCTGTTCTTTTCCGTCTTACCAGGTATTATTTTTTAAAGAACCAGTTTTGTGATTTTCCTATCTATATATTTTTTTTGTTTTCTATTTTATGGATTCTATCAATTCTTTTTTTTTTCTCCTTTTGTTACTCTGTCATTTTCTTCCTAGTTATATGACTTGAAGGCTTAGCTTACTTGCTTTCGATTTTCTTCTTTTAAGAATAATTATTCTTAAGGCTATATGCATTTCTTTCTGGATACTACTTTTCTGTGTCTCTCAGTTTTATCATGTAGTACTTCCATGTCTTTAGTTTTTTGGGTTTTTTTTTTTTTCTTTTAGAGAGAGAAGAAGGGAGAGGGAGAGAGAAACATTGATCAGTTGCCTCCCACACTAGCCCTGAGGAGGGATCAAACCCACAACTTAGGTATTGAATTCTGGACGCTGGAATACAATACTTGGTGTACCGGACAACACTCCAACCAACTGAGCCACCCAGCCAGGGCATTACTCCTACATTTTTAACATCCACATAACTATACACTGTTTCAGTGTTTACAGTAATCTAACATATCTATTCTCTTTTCAAACTCATAAAAACTTACACAAGACCCAGGAGTGCTTTATCTGAGAAAACTTAGGGGGACATGAAAATGCCGTTCTGGAAAACTTGGATAGGTGGCTCAAGAAGTGATTGTTGTAGTGTGAAAACACCGGTGGAAGCGATTTGTGTGAAGTGTTTTAATAAAAAACGTCTATTGTTAAGAAAAATTATCGGGCACTTGGAAGAGGCCTGTATGTCCTTCAATGCAGTAAGGAAGCCGGGATTATTTAATTCTGTAGGGGAACTTATCTGTGTTTGACTTTGCTATTTGCTATGAGTTAGAGCCCAGGTACTGTGCAGTTATGTGTAAATTTGTAGATTTTTGTTTGGTAGAGATATAAATGACTATACTCAATAGAAAAGATCATCTATTATTTCATTATCCCGTAAAACATTAACTCGTTTTGTATCTGATCTAGCAATCTTATTTTAACATTCTAGGTTTTTGGTTTTTGTTTTGCCTTGAAATAACCAGTTCCTCAACTGCTCTTAGAATCAGCTTTACCATCCTACTAATTCTTTCATTAATTAAAATAAAATCTCTGACATGGGTTCTTTCTATATTGGTAAGAGGCACATTTTTAACTTTTGAAACTTTTTCTTTGACATCGTGATGTGTAGGAGTGAAAAAAATTATAAGCTAATATAGGACCTATAGATAAATTAAGTAAAAATTGGATTATTTCATCTTATTCCCTAAAAGTGTATATATTTTAAGTGGGCCCACGTATAAAGGAGTTGGTTATTGCGAGAACAGAAAGTACAACCCGGGTGGTGTCAGGATGAGGTCTGATGGTTGCTAGAGGCTAGGTATGTAGTGCTAAGGAGTTTGAAATTTTTCCTACAGGTGATGGGAACCACTGGTGTGCCATAAGCTGGAGGAGTGTGATTTTTAAAGATGATTTGACCGCAGTGGGAAATACATACAGCACCAGTTGCAACACTGTTGTAATGGCCCAGGCAGGCCTCAGACCCAGTGAGGGCGTGAGGGCTTATACCAGAACAGTGATAACAGGGATGGAGAAATAAAGTCAAATTTAAGGTAAAAATTGATAGTGATTGCACTTTGCAGAGGCAAAAGAGTAATGAAGAATGACTCCTAGGTTTCTGGCTTCAATGACTGGGAAAATGGGAGTACTATTAACTGAGACAGGGAACATAGAAAGTGGAATAAGTTGGTGGTGATAGGTTGGAGGGCCTATGACTGGAATAATGGGACTGAGAGGTATTCCTCTTTTATTTTAAAATTTTTTTTGAGGAGTTGCTTTATTTTTATTTTTTAAATATATTTTTATTGATTTCAGAGAGGAAGGGAGAGGGAAAGAGAGAGATAGAAACATCAATGATGAGGGAGAATCACCTATCGGCTGCCTCCTGTACGCCCCCTACTGGGGATCCAGCCCACAACCCGGGCATGTGCCCTTGACTGGAATAGAACCCGGGACCCTTCAGTCTGCAGGCTGATCCTCTATCCACTGAGACAAACTGGCAGGGCGAAGTGTTGCTTGTTTAAATGGTCACTACCCCTTTAAGATCCTGCCCTTCCCTCTTAACCCACCCAGGCCCAGCTGGATTTCCGTGCCCCAATTTACTGTCATTGCCAGAGCTTCTGAGCATGCGCTGAAGGCAGAGCTGGACTAACCAACGCTCTCCTGAGGCTCAAGGTATTGCATCTGTGGCTCTCAGCAAAGAGCTCCATTTTGAGAGCACATTTTCCCCATCTAAGCATTCTTTTCTCATTTTTTCTCTTAAGTCTTTTCTACCATAATTTTACAGTACCTGTCTCTTTTATAACTCAAGAGTAATGAACATCTGGGGTTTTTTAAATAGTAAAAAAATTATAACACAATGTTTAGAATAGGGTATCTATCCAATACACAGTTTGGGGGCTATAAGAGGAAAAAAGGTTAGCTTAACTTGGTGAACTACATAAAGCTTTGAAGCAATTATACTCAGTCATTACAGTTTTATACACCTAACCACTGTGTCCTGTCTTTTGCTTCACAGCTAATGTGGTGTCTCAGAAGTCTACTGAAACTTGCTGTGCGAGATAATAGACTTCACGTATGTTAAGTGTAGTATCAGATCCTTTGGGAATCAGTGTTGTACACCAGCCTAAATGTACCTGGAGTTACTGTCTTTTTAAGAAATCTGAAGAATGTTGTTCCTTCTGCAGGAACCTTCATGCTGAGATGACCCTAGATTGTTAGTATGTCACAGCAAGATGCCTTAATGAAGGTAGTCAGAGTGCAGATAACTGCCAACCTTAAACTAATATAAACACAGCAAATACAAAGGGAAAAATCAGATCACAAGGAAGCCAGATTCTGTGGGTAGATTTCTGGGAGGAAGGAGCAAGAAGACAAAGGGAGGAGAAGCAAAAAGAAAATGGACTTAGCAGTGAGATGGACATGTCTCCACCATCTCGCCGCTCAAACTAACAACAATCATTCAAAAGCCATCCCTAAGTTGGTGAAATATATATATATTAAAACAGATCAAAGTTTAATGGGGAGAAATAGGCCATTTCTATATCTCAAACCTTAGCAATAAAAGAGTAGGAATAAAGATAGGTCTAAAATTCAGGAGTTACAGTAGAGCGATATGAAATATGGGGGAAATTATGTTTGAGTTTAGATGCTTGAGTGTTTTGTTTGCTAAGAGTCCAAATTTACATGTTGTTCAAGAGGCACTGAGCTTAGATAATAGGACATTCATTTAATTCAACAAATTCATTCCTGAGTGCCCAACTTTAATGAAAATGTCAGTGTTGTTGTTGTTGCTGTTATTGCTGGTGTTTCTTACATGGGAGAGTTGTACAGCTATGTAATACAGGCCAAAATGGTGAATTTACTATACTCAGGGATCAATACATTGAGGCTGTGATTTGATGGGGTGGATGAAAATGTGCCCTATAGAAGGAGAAATGCCTCAACGCTCCCTATAATTGAAATCTGGATGCTTCTGGAACAGCCTGAACCTCTTTAGTTGGTTGAAGTATTGCACAAAGAGGATGGTAACCTGTGTATCAAGAGTCTTAGCTCCAAATGGACGGTATAAACTAAAACCAGCAATCCACATTGCTTTCAGAAAATAGGAAGCCAAAGTCGATTTCAGAGATTCAAGTCTGCTACACTTGACCTACTCAGTCTCAGAAAGAGGGGTCGCCAATCCTAAACCATTCTGAAACTCCTAAGTATTACAATTCGTTCAACAAAGGCTTGCTGAGCAGCTAGCTCTACTGGGCATTGTTTTACAGCATTAAACTGGCAAGGCTTCTCCCAGTCCCTGGCGCTGCTTGCATTCCAGAGAAGACTTTCTTCTTGGCCACAATACTGGGTGGGATGGGTGGGGCGAGAGCCAGGAGAAGGAGGAGGAGTTGTTGGCTATGGAAATTACACGCTTGCTGCTCTGTTATCTGATCATGAAATCAACCCCAAGTCAACACATAACAGCCTGAATCAAGTGGATTAGATTATAAAGGAGTCTTTATCATCCATTAAGTCTTCTAAGGGCTCTTGTCCCTGTGTTTATCGGCTGTAAGAAGAATGTAGCCAAATCTTGTCTCCCAATAGTGAAAGCCACTTTGTAGAAAGTTACATGAATGCACAAATTCACAAAGAGAATTGTCATGATTTTCAGAACCAAATGAATCCCTAAGGTGCTGGCATACAGCTATTTGAGCCAAAAGATCGTATTACATTTTAAACCATATAAACTCATCTTCTTCTTCAGTCTTCATTTGCATGAGAAAAGTGTCTTATTCTCAGCCAAAGGAGCAAATCAAATCCTCCTGTCAATTTTCTGTTCCAGCACAAGATTTCGAATATTCTGTCTCATTTTCCTCTCCCACTGGGCTGAGATTCTTCCTTTAACCTTTGTTAGTCACAGGACCTTCTGCCAATCTAATGAAAGCTAATGGTTTATCTCAGGAAAATGAGATGCTGGAGAGGGTGCCCTCCTACCCATAGACACTGTTAATGTCATTTTTTAAAAATCGCTGAGTCCAACTCCCACATTATAAACATGATCGATGAAGGCTACAGGAGGTTAGATAATATATTTACTGAAAGTCACACCGTTGGCAGAACAACACATAAAACCAAGTTCTCAGAAGTGTGTGGGCTTTTTGTTTGGTTGGTCGGTTGGTTGGTCTTACAATCTGAAACCACTCTCAGGTATAGGCCCTGCCTCTGAACTTTTTTTTAAATCTGGAAATACTAATATAAAACAACAGTATCTTTGTAACATATTTGTGCTCTGGTTCCTTTGTAAACAGAGTAAATAGGTCAGTTTTAGGGTGGGGCTGTCGCTGAAGAGGCACTTCCTGTCTCCCAAGCCAGGACGCTAGTTGGGATATGTAATAACTCAGCAACGTGGCTACAAGCACAGACCCATGAAGAGAGAGTTCTCATCTGTTGTGTCTGAGGCCAAAGAATAGACTAGTGTAGCTTTTCTTTGTGGACTGTTCCTTACTCAACAGCCATTCTGCCTTTGACCTGAAAAACGGCCGTCAGGCATATTTCTTGTTGGTCTGTGAGAGGGTAGCATATGGCTAATTACCATTTACACCTTCTGAAGTGCTCTAAGGATCCACTAAGGGCTGTTTTGTCTCTTTGGTTTACTGTTCTAGCACTTTTTGTAGACAGAGCAGTAAATGGTTTTTTGGGGGGGTGGTTTGTGGGGGGTTTTTGGTTTTTTGGAGGTCCCTTTTAATTTCAGATGATGGAGAGGATGATCTGTGTGGGCTGCTAATGGATTCTCAGCCTGGTGTGTTCAATGACCGTGTTCCTGATGTGTCACTGTCATCACCGTGTCCTCGTGACCAGCTTTCCTTTTCTTCCCTCTCCCTCCCAGGGGAGACATGTTTATGGAGGACAAAATAAAGCGCTAAGGTAAGTGAAAGAAGAGATTTTCAGAGCAAAATGTCCAAGACAAAACATGCATTCATACAGATGAGAATAAAGATATTTGAGCTGTTCTGTGTTTATGTTTTTATTTTTAAAACATACCCTGTTTATTCCCAACTCTGTGTGGTTTTGTGAGCTAAAAATGTGCTCTCTTGCAAGGAGATGGGTGTCTCTTGAAACAACATATAATGGAAAGATTTTTCATTAATTTAGTTTTTAATTTGTTGGGTATTAAAATACAGCTGGTAACTAGACAGCACTTGAGCAGAGAAGTTTTCTATTTGGTGAGTGGCTCGCACAGGGAGTAGGTGTTCTGACCCAGATGTTCTCTTTGAAGCTGGATGGAGCTCTCTGCTGTCCCTGCCAACAGGTGACCAGCTGGCACCAAATATAAGCCTGACAGCTTGGGGCACTCAACTGAGACCCACGTTTCTATTTTCCTTCAGGAAATAGCTAAAAACAAGATCTCCAATTCTCTTACTGGCATGGGCAGTGCAGAAATAAACGAGTTTTCAGTTAACGATCCTAAATAAAAATAGGTCCAATCATTTATCATTTTAACATTTAAAGTTGGTAGAAGTGTTTTAGGAACTAAGGTAATATATGGACTAAAATTTTGTGAGCCCCATTAGATCTTCACCATATGAACAAACTTAAAAAGCTAATAATATGGAGATTTCAAATTTGAAAATTCAGCCTTGAGATCAGTCAGTGTAAGTATGTTGAACATACGGGAGACCTATACCTCCTTGAGGGGGATGCAGAGCTAGGTGAGAAGACCCAGGCCTTCTCCTTAGACCCTACATTGCTTGCTTTGACTGAGACTCAACATAGCTATGATAGAGACTTTCACAAATATTTTACATCGCACCTGAACTTTAATGCTTTTAATTAACATTGCTTTTATAGTTTTAAGGGTTCCTTAAAAAGTTCCCTTTGCCCTAACTGGTTTAGCTCAGTGGATAGAGCATAGGCCTGTGGACTGAAGGGTCCCAGGTTCGATTCCAGTCAAGGGCATGTACCTTGGTTGCGGGCGCATCCCCAGTGCGGGGTGTGCAGGAGGCAGCTGATCGATGTCTCTCATTGATGTTTCTAACTCTCTATCCCTCTCCCTTCCTCTCTGTAAAAAAATAAATAAAAATATATTTTTTTAAAAAGTTCCCTTAAAGGATGGTGAAAAGGAGAGGGGGGAAGATAATATGGCCAGCAATTATGAGAGGTCTGCCACAATAAGGCTCAGCCCATTAGACCTTAGAGTCAGATGGGCCAACAGGCAGGTGGACCTGACATACCAACCTGTTCTCAACCTGATCATCCCTCAGCCTTAGCCTGCTGCTCTGTTCTCAGGGACCTAGAAGTCCTGTACTTTTTACCAACAACATCAGTGTGGGGCAGAAAGGTATCTGGAATTCTGCACAGTCATGCCTTCCTCCTGCTACCCCCAGCACCTGTCAAGGTCACTTCAGGATTATACATCATGTATAATGTTCCCAGGACAATTCTAAAATACTTCCACGCAGGGAAACAAACGTACAAAGTTGCATGAAACAATCTTTTACAGAAAAGAGGCTGCAGGACTGGTTATAGCTTTTGGAGGGTTAGTGGGGGGGGAAAAGAACTTTTACTATGATTGCTTATTTCTTTTTTTATATCTTCCACTTCTCATCAAAGTCATTTTTTCCTTTAAATACATGAGCATATTTATAATAACTTCTGAAGTCCTTGTCTGCTAATCTGCTAATTCTGGTATCTCTTCATTTCTGGGTTATTTCTGTTGACTGATTTTTCTCTTGGTTATAGGTACCAAATTCCTGCTTCTCAACTACAATAATCTATAATAATAAAAGCATAATATGCTAATTAGACCAGACAACCTTCCGGAGGAAGCTGGGGCTGCGAGGGAAGCCGGTGCTGGAGGAAAGCCAGTGCCAGCAGCTGGGGGAAGGAAGGCCTCCTCTTGCACGAATTTCGTGCATCGGGCCTCTAGTATATAATAATTTCTTACCGAATGCTAGAAATGGTGAGTTTTTATTATTGAGCACCAGATTTTGTTGTCTTAATGGAAGAGTGGTAGACTTTGTTCTAGCAGGCGGTTAATTTACTTGTGCATCCACTTGACCTTCGAAGCTTGTTCTTAAGCTTGTTTGAGGTGGGTTTGGAGTAGTCTTTACCTGAGGACTAATTCAGTCTTCTGCACAGGCATGGCTCCAAGAGCCTTGAGCCTGCTCCAGGTGTTCACAGTAGGCTCGTCCCATTTGCCTTTTCTGTATCCTGGAATTGCTTTCTGAGATCACCAATGACTTATCATCCAAAGGATACTTTTCGGTTTTCATCTTCCTTGATCTGTTGTTGGTGGTGGCATTTAACATTGTTAACCACCCCACCTTCTTGAAACACTTCTGAGATGTCTGTCTCTTGACATTCTCCTTATTTTCCTCTTAGTTTCATAGCTATTTTGCTGGTTCTCCTTCCACCCTTTGAATATTCCTTGAGCTTTTTTTTCCAGCCATCTTCTAACTTTACCCTATAGTCTCTCTTTCTCCAGGGGATCTCATGCTGTCCCATTGCGTCCACTACCATCTATTTACACTGAAGAAACCACGTGTGTGCATGTACCACTCAATCCCAGACCTCTTCCGAGCTCAGACTCCTCCATTACCAACCACCTCTTCAATGTCTCTTCTTGGATACTTTGAACACATCAGGGTCTAAAGATTCCTCATGAATCCAGCCCTCTGCCCACACCTGCTCCTCTCCCAAGGTTCCTGTCTCATTGAAAGGCACAATCCAGTTTCTCATGTAAAAAAAATCTAGGAGTCATTCTTGAAGCCTCACTCCCGATGAATCTGAACCATCCCATACAATTATTTTTCCTTCTAAGTGTCACTTGTTTGTGTCTCCAAGATCCTGGTTGGTCCTGCACACCAAGCATGGTTCTAGAGAGGAAGAGAGGCCTGGGACATGCTGCGGAGTGTGGCCGGCAGCCAGAATGCTTTGGAAGAAGCAGAACATGTTCTATATCCTCGGAGAACAGTTAGACAGGAATCAGGAAACCTGGGGAGGTGACAAGGTAGGATACAGGGTGCAGCAGAAACCTGGGTGAACCTCTAACCATAGGTCAGATGGACCCAGAATGCATCAGTAGATTCCGGGGTAGATCAAGTCCAGATTAATCACACTATAGTACCTTGTACAAGATCTCAGCGTACACTGTTGGGAGAGACCCCCCAAAAGTGACTGAAATCACATTTCCAACTTTCAGAAGAATGGAGGCTTACATAAAAAAAGAAAATATTCTGTTTCTTTGTAGAGGAATAAAAGTCATACCCAATATATGAACTACATCATTGATAACTACATCATTGATAAAGACGATATTTAAACTAGGGCAAATGCAAAG